TCTCAGGGTTTCTCCAGTCTCTGTCAGACTAGTAAGTCTGGTCCTTTTTTGTGAGTTTGAATTTTGTTCTACATTTTTCTCCAGCTCTACCCAGGACCCTCTATTGTGATCCCTGTCAGAGCAGTCAGTACTGGTAGCCAGGCACCATCTAGTTGTGCTGGACTCAGTCTGGTGGAGGCTGTGGTAGTTGTGGACCACTAGCCCTTTGGACTAATCTTTCCCTTGTCTCTTTGGTTTTTTTCATTCTCCCTTGCTCTAGACAGGGTGGGACCAGCAGAGTATCTTAGATGGCCACTCACAAGCTTTCAAGACCCCAGACGCTACTCACCAAAGTAGGATGTAGAACATTTTCTCTATAAACTACGTTATGCCAATTGAGCTAGATGTCCCCCAAGACCATGGTCCCCAGCTCTCAGCCCAGTAATTTGGTCCCTCAGGGAGTCTGGATGTGTCTATGAAGCTTCCGTGACCTTGCCTTGGTTAAGTTGTGCTGATTTCCCCAGTATTGTGTACTGTCTTACCCCTCCTCCAAAATTACCACTTACCTACGTCTACTTAGTGTTTTTCCCTCCCCACTCTTCCCCCAGTTGTGAGGATTTGTGTTTTCTTTATGTTGAGTTGTAATCCATATTGAAGGCTGTAGTCTTTGATCTTCATCAGTAAGAGTTTCAAATCCTCTTCGTTTTCAGCAAGCAAGGTTGTGCATCTGCACATCACAGGTTGTTAATGAGACTTCCTCCAATCCTGATGTTGTGTTCTTCTTCTTACAGTCCAGCTTTTCAGATTTTCTCAACACAGATATTGATTAAGTATGGTGAAAGGATACAACCCTGACACACACCTTTCCGAATCTTAAATACATAGTATCGCCTTGTTCTGTTTGAACAACTGCCTCTTGATCTATGTACAGGTTGCTCATAAGCAAAATTAAGTGTTCGGAAGTCCCATTCTTTGCAATGTTATCCATAATTTCTTATGCTGGGTTTTGGACTCACTTGGTACCTGTTATCCCTTCTTTCCCTCCAACTTCTCCCATCTGTAATGGCAATGTCTACCTTGTACCTGTTCTAGCCTCCAGAAGTGTGAGATAATAAATTTCTGTCCTTTAAGCCACTATAATTTGTGGTATTCAATTACAGCAGCCCCAGGAAATGAAAACAATAAATAAAAATAAAAACTATGGCAACAGCCAGAGAGGGGTTAGCAGGGCCAGAAATATAGATGGTTAATACAAATTTTATAGACTGATTTAAAAAAAATGCTTTATTTGAGATCATTCCTTTGCTCAGTTCTTTTGTAAACAAGAACGTAATAAATACCACATACTGGTAAAATATGATTTGCTTTCAAATCAATATATTGGTGATCATAATTTTCTTCTTAAACAAACTCATTGTCGTTGAGTTGATTCCAACTCGGAGTGACCCTATAAGACAAAGTAGAATTGCCCCATAGGGTTTCTAAGGAGTGGCTAGAGGATTCGAATTGCCCACCTTCTGGTTAGCAGCCGAGCTCTAAACCACTGTACCATTCTTCTTAGAAGTGGGAAAAATCTTAGCTGTCAAAGAATTATTTCCTTTTCAGAACCTTACTTTCATAGTAGTAGTGAATCATTGAAATTGACTCAATTATGTATTCCACTTTGAATTATGAAATAACATCAATCAATTCCATATATACTGTTTGTCCTACACACAGCCAAATAAGTTCTAGGTTAAAAATATTTCAAGATCTAAGTTGAAAACCATAATGTAAATGAAATAACACAGAAGTCACAGAATTTATATTCAAAATGCAAAAATATTCTGAAGACATGCAAGTTGTTTTAATTGGGACATTTAACAAATAAGCTAACTAGTTTGAAAAGCAATTTGTATCCAGTCTGGCCTATCCAGCTTCCAGGTGTGTAGGATCATCCTGAAGAAAGCCATCTGGCCTTTGTTTTAGGTTCTTCCAAGCCATACCAACACCTGAGGCTGATGAATGGGGATGACCAGACCAAGGGGAACCACCAGGGGGCGTGATACTGACTAAGCCTCACTAGGCATGATGAGAACCTTGAGCCCTAAGGCTCAGATGGAACTTCCTGGATGGTGCCCTGACCGTGCAAGGGAGAGGGTAGTGCATCCCTCTTTGGGACATGGATGCTCCATGCTGTGACCCCTTCCAGACCTCACCTAATGTGTCTCTTTTCATTTGTATCCTTTTTGGCGGTAATAAATCTGTAGCTGTAAGTATGGTGTACTCTCCTTTCACCATACTTATTCAATCTGTATGCTGCGCAAATAATCCAAGAAACTGGACTATATGAAGAATAATGCGAATCAGGATTGGAGGAAGACTCAGTAACAACCTGCGATATGCAGATGACAACACAACCTTGCTGCTGAAAGTGAAGATGACTTGAAGGACTTACTGATGAAGATCAAAGACCACAGTCTTCAGTATGGATTACACCTCAACATAAGGAAAACAAAAATCCTCACAACTGGACCAATAAGCAACATCATGAAAAACGAAGAAAAGATTGAAGTTGTCAAGGATTTCATTTTACTTGGATCCACAGTCAACACCCTTGGAAGCAGCAGTCAAGAAATCAAACGATGCATTGCATTGGGCAAATCCGCTGCAAAAGACCTTTTTAAAGTGTTAAAAAGCGAAGATGTCACTTAAGGACTACGGTGTGCCTGACCCAAGCCATGGTGTTTTCAGTCGCACATACTTTGGACATGTTATCAAGGAGGGACCAGTCCCTGGAGAAGGACATCATGCTTGGTAATGTAGAGGGTCAGCAACAAAGAGGAAGACCCTCACGAGATGGACGGATGCAGTGGTTGTAACAATGGGCTCAAGCATAACAATGATTGTGAGGATGGCGCAGGACCGGGCAGCGTTTCGTTCTGTTGTACGTGGGGTCACTGTAAGTTGGAAACAACTTGGCAGCATCTAACAAAAACAACAAGTACGGAATTCTGTATGTAATTCTAGCAAATTAATGAACCTACACGGGCAGTGAGAGCCAGCAGGGGTTCTTCTAACATGTAAGCTCTGACCCAGCTCTGGGTGGCTAGGAGCTGAGAAATGCTGCCTGGGGAGCTGCTCTGAAACATAGTGTCCATCTAACTTGTGAGCTCTGACTCAGCTCCAGGTGGCTAGGGTCAGAGAGGGAGCGTGCCAGGTGAGTGGCTGGAGACAAGGAGGGCGGAGTGGGAAGGTAAGGATTGGATCCATCTCCATACTTTGGGAATTAGATTAACATTGATCCTTGCCACACAGTTAGCAATGAGGGTGGGATTCGCTCATCATGCCCCTTGCTTAGTGCACTAGCATATCTCAACTCCAAAAAAGTAATAAAGGATGGCAATAAAAGAAAGTAACAAGACCTAATAAGAAAATTACAATGTGAAGCATAAACATAATTTTCTGAAGAAATCTGGGTTATCAAAATAGTACAATGTCTTTGTAGTATATCATTGAGTCAATTCTGATTCATAGGAACCCTATAAAACCATATGTTTTTTAAATAATTATTATTCCTAGGAAATGAATGGGTAAAACTATAATTGATTAATATAAAGGAAAACAATGATACACTTGATAACACACTAAACTGTGGAACTGTATTAATTTCTGCAATAATTGGAATCATCACACATTTCTCCTAAATGATTTTACTGTTAATATTTAACATTTCTGTTAAAATAATCAGTTACAAAAAGTAGACTTTAAGCAGAATAATTCTGTTTTTAAAAACAGCAACTTTTATTTCTGATATGGAATATGAATACCTCCCAAGTATTCAATACTAAATTAATATTGTTAAAATCATCACATAAATGATAAAAACGGACAATATATATTTTAGTATAAAAATATAAACTTTGAGAGGAATGGTTTGGTAGTGAGATATAAAACCAGTATTCAGAAAATATACTTCTTATTCCTATTTATGTCACTCAAACACTGCGACTTCTTGTGACTCACGTAGCTATTAGAAGCATTTGTTTCTCTCTGCCAGACTGGAAGCGTGAAGCTGACCTACTGAGAGTACCTGGATCGACTAGAAAATGACTCTAAGTGTTTATGAGCCTCAGTGTATCATCATCGTCCCCTTTATGCTTCTATTGCTCAGTTATCTTGTCACCCACACAGATACCACTTAAAATCATTCTACTCTGTTCACTTCGCAGTTCTTCTCTATCATTCCATTCATCTTCAGCAAGTCTTAAATCAATCTTCAGTCTTTGTAGGTCTAATAAACATGCTCGCCCAGAGAAAGTCATGGTATAAGATACAGTGTTCCAGTGACGCTTTGGGATCCTTGGGGAAGAGACACCTCATCAGTATAAATGGATATATTTAGAACCCGTTGTAATTTGAGATTACAAAACTCATCATTCTCATTGGACTTCACTTGACAGAATAAAGATAGTTTTACGTTTTCATGTCAGTTTTGACACACAAGAATGTTGCAGGAATGATTACTAGTCTTCCATTTACCAAAGGAAAAATGATGTAGCAAAGTTGCGAAAGTTAAAATAAATATGAGGCTATTTCTCTTTTATCGTTAACAAGAAGAGGTACCACCTTTTATATTTCACTCCAGAGAATAAGAAGGTTCATCATAATTGAAATGACCCTGTCTTAGAACCGTTATAAATGCACCTTTCTGCCTCAAAAGGTCTCTGGGGTCCCAGTCAAATCTCTTCTTCTGACCAACATGCCTTGCGTATAGCAAATGCTCAGTCCAGATCTGCTATTGAACGGGGACCTTTAAAAGGATGGCAGTCCTGTGACGAATAAACCAACCCGAACCAGTAATTCCTCTGTGTACTCATTCCCTCAGCACGTCTTCACTGAACAGCTATAAATTGCTTCCGATCATTCAATTAGTATATAAAACAATAACAATATGCAAAAGAAGGTTTCTCCATCCCGTTTGTTTGAGAAATTCCTAGTGTGCACTTCACATAGAGTTTTATGCATGCTAATGACCTTACCTCTCTCACAGAGAGCTGTGGTGGGAAGGAGACTGAAAATACCAAGTTGGTAAATTCAAACCCAGAAGCCTCAACCTTTCGGCACACCTAAAAAAAGTATTACAATTACGTAAATTACCCGGAATTGCTGAAAACTTTAATCTTCATAACATGAATTTTTTATTCAAATGACACAGCAAAAAAATCCAAATTTTCACATTTAAGTATGGACCTCTCACAAACATCCTGAAATTAAATATTAACCATGACCCTGAAGACTGACATCATGAGGTACCACAACAGGCAGGACTGACACCACCTGCTGAGCAATCTGTTGAGTGTCCAAATAGCTTTCTATTAGGTCACTTCATAATTTTAAAATGTCTTTAAATACAATAAAGCCAAACATGACACTCTTGACAGCTGAGAACAAAAGGCAATCCCACATTCAATCATTCACCTTCTACAAGGCTATAACACTTGTCTTTTCTAGACACTAACAGATATGGTTAGGAAAAAACTTTTCTCTAACTCCTTAGCTATGTTAAACAACAAACGGAAAACAAACTGCACAATTTTTCTTCCATTGAACAGTGCTCGTAACTAAAATACGTGGGTACATATATCATTAATTTTCAGGTATCACGTTGATAAAAAGCTAATTTGAGAATAGTAGGCTTTTGTTTTTCAAAAAAGTTTTTAAGAAAACGTTTTAATGATCCTTTAGTATGAAACAAAACAAAATGGTACTGTTCCTTTCTCTACAAGAATTCTAGGCTTTAAAACTAAAAATTTCTATGTAATTGCACATATAATAAAAAAAATTATTTACCTTTTTAATGAATTCTTTTTCACAGAATTCTTGAAGAATTCCTAGGCATACATTGCATACATTTATATTTGAGTTCTTGGAAGCGATGCTTCCATCTCCAGTAACAGAGATCCTTCCCTCTCCATTTTGATTCAGATTATCGATCGCATCTTCCGATTCTTCTAGTCGAATTTTCTTGAGAGGTGGGTTTGGAACTTCCATAATCAATGTATCTTTTTCAGTTTCCAAGAATTTCTGTAGTTCATCGAGCAACTCCTGGAAAGTTAATAAAAGAAACAGTAATGACCCTTTGACAATATCCTTAAGGGTCTCTAGGTAAGATGAAGCGTGAAAATTATGACGTATCAAAGTTGTACAGTTTTGATTTGTATAAATTCAGGAGCAATCAAGTTATTTTATTAGCCAGTACTGGCTTTATACTGAATCTCAAAGACAATTAACTTAATCCTATAATACGTGTGAATTTTTTTTTTAAAGTTTCATACGTCAGTAAAGATAAAGTTCTAAATTTGAGACAGAAAAGCTTCATGACGATAAAAACAGGACTTCCGGGCAACATGGCACTATAGTCAGAAGCCCCACGCCATCTCTCCACAGCAAAGAGCCGAAAAACTAAGCCAGACAGAGAAAACAGTAATCCTGAAACCCTAAGCATCAAATGAAGAGATAAAGAACTCAGCCAAGCACCAAAAGGAATAAGAAACTGACAGAGAACAAAAAGCAAGGAGAGATACATGCAGAGGTCCCCATCAGCTAATGCAGCATGGATCCGCCATCTTGGACTCCTATCAGAGACCAGCGAACAGGGTATGAGAAAGCAGCTTCACAGAGCTTCCAGCAGGAGACAGAACAACCGGTAACCAGTGATATATGCTTTCCCACCCCCCACCCTTCTTCACCCCCACTCAGCCTCCTCTGCTTCCTGCAGCCACAGTCTCTTGGCCGGGAAGCATCAGCTTCACCCCGGTGTCACTTGGATTCCACTCGCCTGCACTGGCGGGCTCTCTGAGTGCCATTTGTTGGCTGCTGGTATTGCTTTTTTCCACTCTTTAGATTTCTTCCTTACCTCTCACCACCTCCCCCTCCTTTGTCTCAACTACCTGGCTCCATGCGCCATCTTTGCCTCTTCCTGAAAGGCTATGAAATGTCTCTTGAATCTGAGACTGCTTCCGGGCCTGCGCTGTCATGCTGGTGGGATCCCGGGGCTTTTTTTTGTATGTTTTTAATTGTTTCTTTGTTTTCTTTTTCTTTTCTCGAATTGGGAGCCTGTTCTAGCCAGGCAGTACTGCATGGCTTGGAACATACCCCCTCAGTTTGCACAGATGTGCAGAGGGATCCCTGAGGGCATTTCTTTTCTCTTGTTTTTTTGGGGGGTTTCTTTTTCTGTTTTTTGGGGGGTTTCTGTAGTCCTTTTTTAAAAATTTGTTTCTTTTGTTTTCTTTTCCCTCTTTTTCCCTGTTTGTCTTTCTCCATTACTCAGTTTCTTGTCTCTCTATACCTTCCTTCTCTTCTTCTCCCCTGAACACCTGGCGCTGAGTGACACCTCTACACCTTCTAGCCAGGCTGTACTTCACAGCGTGGAAGCAACTTTCCCAGATCTCGTAGCCACACCAGTGGGATCCCTGGGAGCTTTGCTTTTTATCTTTCTAATTTTTATTTATTCATTTTTTTCTTTTGTTTTTCTTCTTCTTCTCCTTTTTGTTGTTCTCCAATTTCATAGTCTCTCGTCTCTCCACTGGAACGGCAAGCTCCCCTAGCATTCTTTTTTGTTTGTGTGGTTTTGGCTCCTGTTCCTCTCTCCTCTCTCCCATACCCATCTTAGCTCCACACATCACAATCTCCCCCCTCCATCCTGCCTACCTGCATCGTGCGCTTAACATCACACCACCAAGCAGCCCAGGCACGGCCTACTGGAAACTGCACTGCACTGATTACTGGCCCACCCTGGTGGCCGTAATAAGTGCCACAAACAACCCATCCCAGCAACTCCACTTCACCTAGACCTGACCCGCCATACCATATCTGAGCAACTGACCCTGCCAATTGGAGGAGGTGAAAAGTATCATGCCCACAGAGGAGCAAACAACAAAGAATGCACAGCCTCCCAGCTCAGACATAACCAAGTGAAACAAAAACAAGGACAAAATGAACAAATCTACAATCAATAAATGAGAAAAATAACTACCTAATGCCCTGAAGACAGCAGATAATATCAAAGCATTTACAAAAACAGGACAGGATGGTTCCAGTAGGCATCCAAAATAAAACACCAGATGACTTTCCAGTGGAAGAAAAGGCACTAGAACTACCTGATAGGGAATTCAAATCTCTAATACTCAGAATCATCCAAAAGTTGAAGCA